TACCTGTATATATCTGCCAATGTGGGTGCACTCCACAGCCAATAGCCAGTCAGGCTAAGTTGTGAAAGACTTACATTCATACCTTGTTGACTGGTTCCGTACATCTCACACTGAGAAGACACTTGTCTGAAGTTGAACTCAAGGTGAATGTTCAGAATGTTTGCAGTAGTTGATACTCTGGAAATATTTGCCAATTTTAAAACAAACGAGAACGCTGTTTATCCAATTAGAACGCGCGTGGTATATAATACCGGATATTACTATTAGCATATCCACTGCTCGACCGTCAGGAAAACGCGCAAGTTTGACTCGATTTCACAGTAATTGGGAGCAAGGCAATCGTTGAAATGGCTTTCAAATTGGTGTTTGAAAATTGGTGTCATAAGTTTCCGAACTATTTCTTTTCTGCTACAACAACTAGACAATTCACCCTAGGCTTTAATCGTTTGACAGTCTAGTTGTAATTCACCCACGCGTCGAAAGCTTAATGAGAACTAAGGCCATCCCACTTTTTTTTCGTTTATTGTCGAATGCGTTTTCTGATTTTGGGTCGGTCGGTCGGAAAAGGAAAAAAAGGGGGAAAAAAAAAGACACACACACACACACACACACACACACACAAATAAAACTGGAAAAGGAGTCTGGAGCTACGAGGCCCGGTACCTCAGCATGACATCCGTGGAGCCTGGAAACAACAAGGTCTGGTTACAGAGTCAAGATCGCGGCAAAGGAGGAAGGAAAAAGTCGACTTCGTTGTTAAAATCAAACGAGAACAGGATAAAAACTAAAAATCTGTAAGGCAAAAAATTGCTTATGTTTCAGATTAAAGTGACAATTGTTTGAAATAATGTGTCATTACCTTCATTGCCTTCTGTGTAACTTTTTTTTTGAAAACGCGAAAATCTGGGTCGGTCGGACGACGCTAAACAGAGAGAAAAAGGCGATGGCCTAAGAGAGAGCGCCCTCAATAATATTGACACTTTTGTGTGAACAAGTGCTTTTCCGGGTTGCTCTTACCTCTGTTTCAAAATGAATCTTCGTGCAAAACCTTTCATATTGAATGAGTTTTTCTTGCACGTTCATCGTCTTGTAAATCAAACTCATTTCAATATGAAAGGTTCTGCACTAGGACTCGTTTTGAACCAGAGGTAAAAAGCAATTCAGAAGTGGCTTATCTACTCCAGTGTCAACAAGGTCCTGTTTACAAAAGGTCAGCATCTCTGTTTATAATACACAAGTGGTGAAAGTATCATAAATGTTAAAACCATTCTCGTTAAACAAAATAATAACTTTTAATTTTTTCTTAAAACTCTATACAAAATTCAACATACAATAATGTCTTAATTCTCAACAAGTAAAGGAAATAATATGTACAAGCAAGAATCTTGGAGTTCAGTTTACATCGTGTTAGTGACTTGACGTTTCGTCAATAAAGCTTCTATAAGCTTCAACTGGTGCTTGATGTGCTGTAAAGTTAGAATACACATTGGTGGTTAGAGAAGTCTCCACTGGAGCTGTCACGCAACACATTGTCTACGTGGGACAACGCCAGGCACACTCGTCACGCAACCTTTTCTAACATTGGTCTAAGATTGTACAACGAGTCAAACAAATAAACAGACAGATAGACAGACACTCATGTGTAGGGAGCGAGTGAGGACAGTAGGCTACAAGAGTTAAAAGTTAGGTTCTTTTTTCGCTCAAAACAGTAGTAAAACACTTCAAAGAATTCGACAACAGGTCACAACGATATCAAGAAGAAGAAGAAGAAGAAGCGATTTTACCTTATACTCGTGATAGTCACTTTCCATTTCTCCTCTATCTTCTCTCTGCACTCGCCTGAGAGAGAAACATGATCACAATTTAGAAATCAAACTTTTTCGTCTTAGCTTCTTGCATGCCTCGTGTAACGAACATTTTGATTTGCGTGTTACCCAAACGCCTGCGGGAAGCTTCCCCTACAATCAATGAAACTTTCACATACAGATTACTTGAGCTAGATCACAGACCACATTAGATAATCGTAATGTAATCACTTACCGGCCAGTGTGCTCTAAGAAGTCATCCTCAAAGTTCTTGAGTTTTTTTCTCATTTTCTTTTTCTCTTTTCTCTTTAATTCAAGCTGATCACTCAACTCGTCCCTACAGAGAGTAACACAATGACAGTTAGAGTAGATAAGTAATTAGTGGTGCACTTCCCGATACTCTAAAAAACGTTTTGGGTGATCAATCTTCATTTCTGGCTAAGTGAGTTTCGGCGCGGTCAACTCTTATTTAGAAATCTCAGATGTTGGGAGACAGACCCGTTCACATTATTTAAATACTAGGCGCAGTGAAGACTTAAATCCAAGATCTTTAGATTTCAAGTCAAACGGTGACACAACTCGGTCACGCAGCTTTTACTACTTGCCCATTCTACTAACATTCTTGTCGTTCCCGTCACGCAATGCTTGGCTTCTTTTCTGTCAGGAGGCGTTGCGTGACGATCTAAAAGCGATTGTGATGGGAGGCCAGTGTCACGGACAACAATTGCCACTTACCGGGACATCTCGTGGAATTTGGCGTCCTCTCTCAGTTGAGCGGAGTCACTAAGGTTTAGGGTGGCTTGTATTGTGTCACCAAAAGCTTCATCATCTGCGTCTAAAGTGTCTGTGTAGGACATATTGCCTGTGCTACGTCTCCTTGGCGAGTCCTGCAAACGAGCACAGTTTAATGTAATATTCTGTTTGAGAATTGGGCAAGAGCGATAGGAAGAGTCTTCAAGCTAATCATCGTGACCAGCAACTTCCCCGTCACGCAACTATTCCTAAACTCACGCAAAATAGGAGCGATAGCGCGAACAGGTAACAGTACAAAAGTCGATATTACCCTTCCAGTGATGGGCAGCGACTGGGTTAGTGACCTGGCAGGGGATCCACCGCTGCCGCTTGGCGAGTGTAAGGGAGCATCTTCATGGATAGGAGCCAGGTCAGACACCAGTCTATCAATTGAACTAGTTCTTGGGCGTGTCCCTCCAGCGATCTTTACGGGCGATTCTGTTACAGGTGCGGCAAGTTTGCGTTTGATTGTACGATACCTGTTAGAAAAAAAAAATACAAATGTCAACATTTAAGTCTAGAGGATATTCTACGGTGAAAAGGTGAAAGGCGAAGGAAACTGTGACACTAGTCTCCTTCCCCGCCTTCACGTGTCAGAAGGTGTTCTGTATTGCTCAGCATTTTTTAACCTAAAACTATGACCTACATAGACTGCCGTTTCTCGTGTATACACTTCACCGAAATCGAGACCAGTTACAAGAGCAACTCATCGCAAACGAAAGCAATTCGGCACAAGCGCGGGAAATCGTACACGACCAAGTCGCGAGTGGTTAATTATTTCCATCTGATTTGTGATATTCGAGAGGCAAGATTCTTACACCACTTTCTAAACGAAAAGCATTCTTCTAAGGTGACAGCAGAGAAAAGGAAGATTGCTACGAGCTAACCCTACTCCNGGGGGGGGGTACTCCAAAAACACATTTGGTGGGGGTGTGCGGCCCGCTTCCCAAAACCCTTAACCCTATTTATGACCAAAATCTACGATTTTCCCTACCCTATTTATGACAGTTGCGGCTGACACAGTTGGCCTAAACATAAGGTTTGAAGGGCTTTTGCTTATGGTCGTATCGATAATGATGAAAAAGTAGCTTCTTCTGAACAACATACCCAACTCAAGACTAGAGTACAAAAACCGTACCCTATTTAAGACCAACATGGCCAAAATCGATACCCCATTTATGACCAAAACGGCTGAAAAACCATACGCTTTGGGGCCGCACATACCTATATAGCCCATATAGGAGAGTACCCCATCCCCCCCTCGGGAACCTACTCCACTAGACACTAGAAAGCAGTTGCCTTCTTTATCAGAAGACGTAAACAGCAATACCATGTACGCATTATCACTATAATCACCTCTTGACAATTGTCCATAACAGACTAACACGTGATTAAATCAATAAGAAGTTACACTCTTGCTGTCACGTAATCGCTTCTCTGTCACGCAATGTAACATTACTACTGTACTAACCTGTCGTACAAAGGCCTCATAAGGTCCTTGTCTTTTTTAGTGTTCGGACGACCAAACAAGCTCTCATGCTGCAGCAGCGCCTTCTGTACCGCTAGCTTCTCGTCCTGAAGCTGTTCCCTGCCCATTTGCTCCACCTCCTCAGGCCTGCCAGCTTCCTCCCTCTTCTCCTCAAGCTTGTTCAGTAAGCTCTCTAGGGAGTGTTCAATACTTGCAGGTGTTGTGGTCAGCAGAGGTTCATTGCTACTGCTTTTCATACCCTGTCCGCTCATGGGGGGCACAGTCTCATTCAAACGCTCCGCCTCGCACTTCGCGCGTTCTTTGAGTTCTTTCAACTGCTTTCTTGCGCGGCCCAGTTCCGACACGTATTTTTTGATAGGTGCTTTTTCGCTTTGCGACGGTCGCCGCGCGTGTTCGTCCTCGAAAGCGTCTTCAAAATCGCGGATTTTCTTTTTTAGTTGACTGATTGTTTTAGTGAGTTGCTTGACTGTCTGCTCACCCTTCGGAGACGATTCCACCCTGTGATGAAAGAAAGAAAGAAACAGTCATACACTTGCAACAAACTACAATCATAGCACATACTACAAACTGGTGATTCTTGTAAATTTTTATATGTACCAGTCACATCTGAAGTATTTCTGCTTAAAACAAAGAATGTCTGCAATACAACATACTTTCCCCCCCCATCTTCTTTGCTATAACATACAGTACCGGTCAAAGGGATTGGAGCGGCCAGACAGAGTTCAACATTTCACTCTCGTTTCCTTAAACATTGTATCAAACAACATTAAGCTAAATATTCTGATATTTGCTGGTTATATATCAACACATAGCTTTCTGTCGCCCATCCATCAACTAATGTTACAGTCGGTAACCAACCTTCTTTCAAACCATGAATGCTCAATCTGTTCGTGCGGCGGGGACGGGGGACACTCATAACCAGTGGTCCGGGTATCAATAGTAAGGGGCCGAGAACGAGGGGACAATAATGCTTCGTCTGTACCGAACCTTTCGTATCGTTCCCTGGGTGACAGCTGTATTTCGTCCGCTGCATCGTGTTGTTGCAGTTTGTAGAGCTCAAGCGGAGGCACGATAGGTGCGCCATGGTGCTTTTTCTTGTACTGTTGAGTGATGAGATCTTTTCTGGACCTCAAGGGCGACGAATCAACTTCATCTATTTCACCATGCTGTAAGACAAGAAAGAAATCTTAATGACGTTCTCGGCGAGGGTCTGAGACCAAGGAAGAGGAGTGCAACCTTCCTTTCCTAAGAATTTTCGATTCTCGTTAACCAATCAGGAATTTACACGTTCGTTCAAAAACACACGGAGAGATGTTAAGTCATCCTGACGTCAGAAGGAAATGTCACGCTACTAAGCAACCACTGTCACGCAAAGCTCAGATCAAAAATCTCGGAGATAAGATTTCAAGCACAGAAGGTTCTTGTTGTTTCGGATGTTCCTAGGATAGTGATGTTTTCTGTAAAGAGGAAACTAAATTCACCACTGACCAGTCCAGTATCTTACTACATGACGCGCTTTCGTCATTGACAATCACAATACAAGAGAAATCACGATGGAAATATCAATATTCATTACTGATTTCCCCACAGTTCTCTTAATATTAACTCTGAGAAGTTGGCAAGTGTCTGACTTTGACCATTTTACAGTGAATGGGTGCAGCAGGGGTAGCAATACTTACATCTTGCTTGGTTGATGCAGATGGAGACTGAATCCTTGACGACCTTGCAGATCTGGGTGATCTGGGCGGTGTTGTTGACACGACATCTTTGCTCTTTGCCTCATCAACTAAAGGATGTACGAAAGCTTTGCTTTGTCTCTGCTTAACGTCCTGTGGAACACCCATTACAAAGTTACATTGACAGATCACAGGCTCACCAACCTCAAGAAGGTAATCTCAAGTGGCATTGTTTATTATGCTGCATGCAAATAAACCCTGATGTGGAACCATTCAGATGAAACTCATCGAGCATAACCTTCCTGTGGAGCTTGTTTGATGATGTGATTCGTTTTTCGATTTTGAACTTGTACTCTTGGGAGATATAGTATATAGTATATACCACACAAGTGAATAGTGCTTTTCGCGCGCTCTGATTGGCTAACTCGGAGGTGATTATCAAGTACTATTCACCTCCGAGCAGCCGGCGCGAGAGAGTTTAAAATTTCCGACCGCTTATCATACATAAAATAACGTTTTGGTCCGCTAATTATTCAGCTTGTGTGGTATATACTAAAACAGTTATTCACCTCAGTGTCGATGAAAGTGATGGATATTTACCTCCACTTCGGTGAATAATTGTTAATTATTCCTGTCGTATGCTGCGCGTATGTCGCATTGATTGTGTCTGGCCACTGTATTTTCCATGGCGTGGTATAAAATAAGTATCCAACGCTCTCTCGTGATATACCATGGAACATCCCACTTGTCACTTGT